TTTTTTAAAATCATATTTCCTAAAATAATTTGTCTCAAAATGAGAAGTAAACAGCTGAAATTATAATAGTAACACTACTCTTTGATATATAAAATTAAGTTGCTGCTTCTTTCTCTATGCCATCATTCTATAGCATGAACTAAGTTATAGAAGTCCTTGTAGTACTAGTAAGGGGAACATATGCACACCATCTTGTTGAAGTTGATTGAACAACAGCAAAAAAAAATTAATTACATCTTGCTTTCATAGAGCTGAACAGCAGCTGGTGTTTTGCATTTTTCTTGAGGTTAGCTGCTTCCCATTAGACTGTTGCTCTTAAGAATTTATTCTGTTGTGTCAAAAGGCCAAAGCTGACTGCTAGAAGATGTGCAGGAAAGAAAATGTCATGCTATATCCTTTCAGTATAGCAAGTAAGTTTCTGATATTGTCTTCACCTACAGCTCATTTATACTTCAAGTTTAAAAAGAAGGAGGAAAAAAAAAGATTTGATACCAAAATCTGGAACAAGTCCAAGAATATCATAAACTTTGGAAAATAAAAAAGGGACAAATCTATCATACAAGCTCTGTAATATACTGGTCTTCCCTGTCCCAAATCCAGTAAGATGCATCTAATATCAAATGCCAAAGGAACTGAAAACTGAAGGCAATGAACACATTTAAAGCCTCTCAAAGGAGTAGGTTTCAGTTTTACTGCCACAGAGCTATTTGTGGCTGAGCAGTATTTGTCCATGATGGAAATGGAGATATTCTGTACTGGGGCATCACAAGAGAATAGAAGTATGCTGTCTTCAGCACAGGTATCAGCTAATCTTTTGAATTAAGAGAAGTACTCATAATGGTTTCAGGGCATCCACATGAAACTTACAGATTGTTCTGGTGTGGCTGATAAGCTGTATGGCTCTAGAAAACCGCATCCTCAGAATAATAATTCAGAATTCCTTCTGATGATGATTTTGATACCCAGTCTCCGTCTTTTTTTTTGTTTGTTTTGTTTTGTTTTGTTTTGTTTTGTTTGCTTGTCTCTAAGTCTAAACCCTCTGAAATGATGTTTTTTGTTGCAATAAGTATACATTTTATATTCAGATACAGGGATATTGGTAAAATAGATTGCCCTTTCAGTCATACATAACTTCTCCGTTTGGAATACTATGCAATTAGCAATCTCTGTGTATGTGAACAGCATATTATATAAAGAGCTGCTATTAGAGGTTATACTGGGAACTTCTTTGTCATGAAGAGAGGGGACAGAACCTGATCCTCAGGTTCCAAATAGAGAAACAATAACTGCAGGTGAAGAAAGTTCACATGCAAATCCTGTAGCTTTGACACATCACAGACAAAAAAGTACAGACTCATTTTCATTTTAGTATTTGGTTAGAGAAGATATGTCATTCTAATGGAGAAGAATGTGTAAAAATATCAAATAGGCAAATGCGCCACTTTACATGCAAATTCAGTTTTCTGATAGAAAGTGTTTTTGTGGAGTGTCGCTTTTTTTTCTGCTCAGAAGCTTGAAAAAGCATTACTATAGTTAATATATTCAGTATCAATATTAAAAGCTCATGAGAAAAAAAAAATGTAGAAGAAAAAAAGGAAATGCATTTGACTTTCATGAGGTTAAATAGATAAAGCCAAGATAAAATAAGTGCAAATATACAATTTTTTTTCATTGCTATTTTTGTTGGTGGTGGTGGGGTTTTTTTTGTTTGTTTGTTGGTTTTTTTTTTGTTTTTTTTTTTTTTCCCCCATTTTATTTAGGGATTGGGTCCATATTGTTATTTGTATATTTTTTTTCTCTCAAATATAAGAGGGAAAATAGTAGTGTTGGTTATCTTGAAGTACCCTAGCAACAAAAATATACCTCTCAAGTACACCAGTGTGCTTGATAAAGCACTACTCTTGCAAACATTTTAAGGATCATGCTGAGAAGAGAAAAATGGATTCACTTTGCTGCAGACTGTCAAGCTTCCAGCTTTTCTTCCAGCCTCCATTATTCTAGCTAAGTGAAAGGTATGAAACCACTTTATTGTATCCATCATTGGAGAAAATAAATAAATATCAGAACATGGCTTATAAAAAAAGACAAAAAAAAAAAAAATCCTCAGTAAATTTTCCAAGTTTCCAGAAATAGTAACAATATTAGGTAATTTTTCTAATTGCTATTGTGAACACATTCCAAGGAACCTTTACAAATAGATATTTCATCCTTTTCCCTTTCAAATATACTACATTCCTTGTGTTATGATTTTGTGTCAGCTAATATTGATATTTGTCAGCTGAAGAATAATCATATAAAGCTTTTTTTTTTTTTTTTTTTTTTAATAGCAATGTACATTTTCTTCATAGCTGGAAAAGAACAGTCTTAGAATGTTATTATGAGGAAAGAAAACAGAAAGAAAACTGCTCTCACCTCGTCATACAAACATTTAATACATGATAGTCCAATAGGAACAGATGACAGGAAAATGGATGATGTGACATATTTTTGTGATTCCTGGATACTGCAAAACTTCTTGCTGTTTTACACACTACCACAGAGTACAGTCACCCTGATATAATGAGTAGTGTGAATCTCCCATCTGAGGGAAAGCTAAAAGCTAAAGGTCTATTTATTTGTTCTGAGTGATGCTCTGATACAGCTTTGTAACTGAGTTGCTTTGAATTTAGCTCATTCTTTTTTCTGATGCCTTGAGATGGCAATGAAGAAGAACGTTTTGTCACACAGTTGTCCTCAGCATTCTGCCAATTTTCTGTTAACAGCTAAGCAAAGTGACATCTGTGCATGTGGCAATTGTTTTTAGTCTGAAACTATTTCTCTTAAATCAAAGCCTGAGGGCCTGAATTATCATTTCCCTGCATCTTGCCAATTGCAGAGTATTAATTTTACACCCATTTTTGCTAATAGAAATTACCACTGAAATGAAGGACACCAAAACACTGAAGTACTAAAGCTTTTAATGTACCTTATAAATATTTGTTATTTTTCTCTCTGCACAAATTTTAAATCCCTGAGAATTTAGAAAAAAAAAACAACCTCTGTGGGGCAGATTAAAAATTCAGTCAGTTATTAGTGCAGTTCCCATTGACTGAAATCATTTTTTTCATTGGTTATTATTAGATTATTTTCTGAGTGGAATTTAATTGCTGAAATGTAGAGAACTAGTGTCACTTTAATGCTCTATGCAATCCCAATTGAACTCTGGTCTCTCCTAGAAAACAAGGTTTAGGTTTCCAAATCTGTGACAGGTCCATGAAGTCCATTCACATGTCTTTAAAATAATTAAAATAGTTAAAATAGCACTAGATATTTAAATTAATGTAAATTTAATATAGTTGTGTTTTCCAACTTTGTCTTATTCTTACCTCCACAAGTAGTACTCAGCATTACCCTTGTCTAGAACAAAGACAGCAAGAAAACATATAAATTGTAACCAGATTCACTCTTCCTAATTCTTATGAATACAGAGGTATTCTAAACTAAATTATTCTCATTTATAGAAAGAAGAAATATTATTATTTTCTAACAAATAGCATTTTGATTCTTGGAAACCAAGGAGTTTGTTTTCAATAGTAAAGTGATGATTTCTCAAAAATGTTAATAAGGAAATTGATTTGTTAACATAGACAAGTGGTCAGATCCTCAAGTTGCAGAAAATAGACTAGCACCATTTAAGACATTATCTTTATGCAAATTTGAAAGAACTGAGAATCTGACTTGTGTATAATAATATAGAGAAAAAATATGTCAGAAACCTATAAACCTCTGTGCAAATAAAATGAAGAGCTCACATTTGTATATACATACAGGTAATTCATCAGCAGTAAGATAAACTAAAGAATATATCTCTTTGAGATATTTATCAAGACTTCAATGTAAAGTTTGGCATTCCTATGTAGACTTGTAGCAATTCAGTTGATCCTTAGCTCAACAAGTGAAAATTAGCAAAATGGAAGTTCTTCATGCATTGTCAGTTTACAGAAGATTTGCTCAGAGGAAGATATAGGAAGGTCAGAATATCAGTCATGCACAGAAACGGAATGACCTTACTGCACTCCAGACAAGACAATCCTGTCCACATGACAACAATGAAAAGCATTGTCTTCTGACAATTTCTGAACAATTCTAAACTTGTGCATGCAGAAATTGCTGCCTTATTCTTTAAAAAGTGAATTCTAAAAAAAAAAAAAAAAAAAAAAAAAAAAAAAAAAAAAAAAAAAAAGACATTTAAAAAAATATTTATTTCAATTTCACTGATCAGTTCCTTAATTTTCCTGATAGGCAGCTAGGAATATGCTTTTTTCTTTTCTAGTGAGTTGGAAAAAAAAATAATAATAAATACAAATTATACAGAATAAATAGTATATATAAATCTAGCTAGAATTCATTGCAAAAATAAATCTGACATGTTCTACTTTTTCTTTTTGTATTTTTTTTTTCCCACAACATTTTACTTTCTTCTAGATTCTGCAAAATATAACATATTTTTGTACAAATAACAGCTAAATACTATTACTGTTCCTCACACATATGTTTTATTGCAGTTGTTCTATTTGGAAGTTGCTTTTGGGTAGTGAGGGAAAGAATCTGCTTTTGCACCTAGAAGTTCCCAGTTGCAGCAAACTAATTTCCTCCAAGGATAGTTAAAGCCAGCACAGAAATTATTTTTATAGATAGATATATAAAAATCGAACTTATCAAATACAGCAATATATTTACAGCTGAACCTCAGTAGCTTTTCCAATTGCCCATGATTGTGAGTTGAAACACCAGTGATGCACAATATTTTATAGCAGCAGCTTAAGAAAAGATTGTCCAAACTTAAGTAAAGCTATCAGATAGGGTAAGTATCAAAAGGCTTGCAGTTCTTCTTGTAAGATGTTGGGTAAACACATATATGTTTTGTTCCTCATACTGATAAAGAATCCATATGATGAAGTTCCATATAAAATATTAAATATATGCAGGCTCTGTGTCAATGGATGGATACACAGAAATTGTTCTTTTTTTGTTTTTAACGAACATTTAGCATGACAACATTTTTAATCCTTTCATATTTATTATAAGAGTATGTTAGGTGTGGTTGTAGACAACGGTCATGTATGCAGTGCTCATACTAATACTTAATACACTCTAAGCTTCTAACTACAAATACAGGTGTGAGGGCTTGTTTGTTTTTCTTTTTGTGTTTGTTTTAAGGAATCTAATTAAACTAGGGGAAAACCAGAGAGTACAGGTAGCAAACTTTTTTTCATAGGTTAGGTACACAAAAGAGAACGCCACACACACCTTTAAAAAATGCTAAGGAATATTGCAATAAGCAATCTTCCTCTCACAGTTCAATCACACAATTCACGTTTAACTTGAGTTGAGACATATTGTCTACACACAACCCCATGGCTTCCCACAGTGATCCCTGAGTTTTTTGTTTTGTTTTGTTTTGTTTTTTGTTTGTTTGTTTTTTTGCTAGGATTACTGATGTGCTTAAGTTCTAATTGTTGACATGTCATTACAAGGCACTTTTATTTTCAATAGCTCCAACTTAAAATGGAATTACAGATTTTTGGCCCTAGACCAATGTGTTATCACTTCATGTTTGCTGCTCAAGGACTTCCAGGTAGTCAGGCTCAGCATGTAGATTAGCTTTGAGTTCAAAATACTCATTTTTAGTTTGTTCTAGAAAAACCTTTCTTGGTCTGGAGTACATTAGTGTCTCCATTAGCTTTAGTTCCTCATGTGTTCCAGGATAATGTACTTCCATTTCAGGCTGGAGTTGAACAATATTTTTTCTTAAGTACTCTGTGATTCCAAGTTGCTGCAGCTCCCTCTCTTTTTCGAGAATATTTCTGTACAAGCAGCTGGCATCTTGAAAAGACAGAAATTCTGCAGATTGATCTGCAGCTGTATACTTGACATTTGAACCAGTAAGTGGTGAACTATTCTCTCTTTCTAGGAGACTTCTGCAGAGATGTTTGGAATCATTAGTTGCTTTCTCACTTTCCTCTTCTTGTTGTTCAGTATGCTTCGGGCTGAAGGATGGGCTGTGATAGACCTGAACCATGGGAGTAATCATACGTTGCTCATAGAGACCTGCAGCTGGACGCTCTGTTGAGTGATGTGTTGTTTTATGCCCATACATGCTGTACTGAAGGTGAACTGGGCTACTATCCCTCACTTGTTCATTGGCTTGTTTCTTTTTACATCGTTGCCGCCGATGCAGAACAAGAACAACTATTCCTGCTGCACAAAATACAATAATTATAAATACAATTAGAAGTCCCAGTATTAGAACAGAAAGTGGGACAGCATCTGTAAGTGATTGCAGGATGGTATCTGCAGTGTTGCTAGTAGTAGAAGTTGCTACAACTACAAAACTGGCATGAGTTGGTAGGGCAGGGCTCTTTATTAAATCTGGACACAAGACTTCACTGTTGAGGGATTTCAGGTTTTTTTTTTCTAAGTGTCCTGGAGATTTACAAAAAACGTCACCCATCATTGTACTCTTACTCAGCTTTTGTATCCATTTTTGCAGTCCAACTGAATCACATGTACAGTCCCAGGGGTTGTCTTCAAGTTCAATTTGTACCAACATATTCAGTTCATCCAAGACATTGCTCACAGGCAAGTAAGCAAACTGGTTTGTTTTCAGATTTAATCGGGCAAGTGGCACCCCAGAAAAGATATGGGGTGGTAAAGTTTGCAAAAGGTTATTGTTTAAGTAGAGGACCTTAAGTTTTGGCATTGTATTAAATGTCCCTGGTAAAACTTCTTTGATGGCATTATATTCAAGGTACAGGTATTCAAGGTGCTGAAGGCCAAGGAAAAGATTCTGACTTAGCTTTGTAAGATGGTTGCCATTGAGATACAGTTTCTGCAGTCTAGTCAGATTCATGAAAGCTCCTTCCTCAAGGATTTCAATACGATTGTTTCCCAGATGAAGCATTTCTAGACTAGCATAGTCCATAAGATCTGACTTAAGTAATGTCTGAATAATGTTTCCTGCTAGAATAAGTTTTTTAGGATTTGTAGGAGGAGGTCCTAAATCAGACAGGCTTTCAATATTTCGCTCCTGACAGTGCATGAGAACTCCTGAGAGCATATGGCTGGTGCAGTGACAGGGAATGGGACAATAGATTCCTGGAAATTGTGTAGTTGGCTTTGAAGTATGAAGCATTAAATTTGTTTCTTTAGTAGGAGCTTTCAGCATAGGAATGACCTTAGTTGACAGGTGGCTATCGCTTACAGTGGTGGTTACAACCAAGGGCAGTGACCCTGAAGGATCTTCAAGTTCATTGACAGTAGGAATGGGACAAAGTGATTCTTTTTTCAACCTGTTTAGTATGCTGCCTTTGATAACTGGAGGACTATTGCATACAACATCTCCTATTATTGACTGAGGAGGCATGTTTTCCAGCCATGTCTTCAGCTGAAGCAAATCACAGTTACAAGCCCATTTATTATCTTCCAGCTGAAGGTCTAGTATTCTACCGATGTGTTCTAAAAAGCCAACATATGGTAGAGTCTGTAACTGGTTTCCCCGAAGATCTAAATGAGTCAACGGCACAAAACGAAATATGTTTGGAGGAAGGTACTCGATAGCATTATCATTCAAAATAAGCACTTTAAGCCTACTGAGCTTGCTAAAGGCACTTGCTTCAATCACTGTGATGAAATTGTTGTCTGCTTGAAGAAATTCCAAATTTTCCAATCCATCAAATGTATCTTCTTTAAGTGTTTCTAAAGAATTGTGATTGATGTGAAGTTGCTTAAGAAGGTTGAGACCATTAAAAGCCCCAGGCTCAATATCTGCAATATTATTAAATCCAAGATGTAGAGAGATAGCATTAACAAGGCCAGCAAAATCATTCACATGTAGCATTGTCAGGCCATTGTTTAACAAATTAAGATGGAAGGGCCGTGATGGTGGGACATTTATTTCTGACACCATCTTGATGCCTCTTTCTTCACAGTTTATAATCATAGTGTCATCCTTTTCTTCACAGGAACACAAACTCTGACAAGATCCTCTGACTCTATTAAAAGATGTTTCTGACTGGAAAGGATCAGATGTAACCAGAACTGAACATACCACAAAAATCCAGAGCTTCATCTTGGTCAGCAGATTCTATAATAAAGAAGGGGTGGGGGGAGGCATGGAAAAAGAAAAAGCAAGAGTCATGATTTCACAATTTGTGCAATTTGTGTTTTGTATGTTTTTTTTTCTTTCTTTCTTTTTTGGGGGGCAGGGAGAGGGAGGGGCAGGAAGGGAGATTGCTTATCCCTAAACTGCCCTGTCTCAGCTTTTCTTGAAATATTTAGTTTAATGTACTGAATCAACAGCCAGTCCTAAGGAGTGCTTCAGTATTTTCATGCTGTATCTTTTACCTCAGTATGAGGTATCTTTTACCTCAGTAAAAGATAATCAGAAAAGCATTTTCTATATATAAACCATTTATATAGCATATGGTTTACCAGTGTACAGAAAGAATAAATTACTGCCCCAAGCAACTTACTTCAAAGCTTATATATTTTGGATTAATTCTTTACGTCACCATATAACATTGCAGATTTTAAAAGTACCTTTCTAAGCTCAGCTTAATTTTGTCCAGCTGCTAAAGAGAAGATACAAGATATGGTTTCATTGAACAATGTGTTGTAAAAAAAATATATATATACATTCTAACAGGATACAGGGAACATCTCCTTTGATTCTGTATTATGTATGCAAGTTAAAAGTTATTTCCTCTGTAATCCTTGTATCCTCAAACTGAAAAGGAAGTAGACAAAATACTGTTTTTCCTGTAGATAATTTTTAATGTGCATAACACAGTTCATGTACATTTAGTAAAAGAACACATTTTAACCCTCTTTAATAGTGTAACATGATAGTATAAAATATACATCTAATTGTGTATACAATTAAAGAAAAAGAAGAGAGAAAATAAAATGCATCACATTTCAGAAGAAATAGGTGGGCAAGTAACAAAGAGATTATCTGGGGACTGCTTATTCGGTTCCTTTCAATTATTATAGATATTGACACCAGAACTCTGAAATGTACACAGAGTTAACTCTGTCTTACTAGTTAAAAACTATTGGTAGTATCATCAATATGTTATGTAACTTAAATTGTCAGCCACCATACTGGTCTCAAACTTTGCAATTCCTGAGAAATGCATCGTTACTGTACAACTGTGAAGTCTAGAGCAAAACATACACATTTAGGTCAAGTATTTGTTATTGTTTGAAATTTGTTTATACTACACTTTTCATGTGAACATTATCTGTGTCTATCTAATTAGTGTGAATGAAAATTTTTCTTGGTATGTGACATGGAGTGAAATCTTCAAATGGAATGGAAGATTTACTTCAGAACAACATTTTGGTGCACTCCATTCTATGACTGATCTAAATAGGTTTCTTAGGAAATCCAGATAGTAAAATTCTATCAATTTTCCAAGTAAGTTATTATAACAGGAAGTCCAAAATGTCACTGCAGAATTAACTATCACTACAGAATTAACCACTTGAAGTGTTAATTTCAGAAGGATTAGAGCCCTTTCTGAGAATATATTCAACTACATGCCTGAACGTTCTCAAAGTACGATCATACGTTTTGCTGTTTCTCAAAAATACATTTTCAGTATTAATGGTACCTTATTAGTAGCACCTCTTCTCAAGGATGCAAGGACTTACATATGTAAGTATCTCAGTGCTTTGGTATGAGTGTTTTTTACACACACACACACACACACACACACACACTCCAACAGTAAATGTATGCAAAGGGAACTGTGTTTTCTCCATCAGAAAATTTTGGTAACTGGAAGCAGATGTGTGAGTTTAGAAGTAGTGAGTGCAACTTGTGGTGTTTGAAAGTGCCCCCTAAATACATGTCTGTTTTAGTAGAAAAAATAATTTATTTTGTCTCATAGAATAGTCCTTGAACTTGAACTCTAACTGCATATGTTTAATATATATTTTTAAGTTGCTCTTTGTATTATTATTTTTTTTTTTCCCCTCAATGTGTATAGGGTAAGATACAACACAACAAAACTTTATTTTGAAGTATGCAGAATAATGCTAGGATCAGAGTATGCTAGAAATTTATTTATATTCATTTATATATATGATTTATATTCATCAATGTATTTTCCACTGACCCAAGGTAAAAGAACACAGGTTCTTTTCACAGACGCCGTCTCCAAACCTACTGTATGACTAGCTGAACCTCCTTCTACACTTCCCCCCCCCCCCCCCCAAATTCCAGCTTTGATCTACATTAAATTCGTACTGTACTTTAAAAATCCCAGGGGAAACATAAATGAAAAAAATAAAATCTGAAAAGCATTCAAGCACATATTTAAAAAAATATATTTATTAAAATGAAAGCCTTCTTCTTAGAAATGACAATAACAACATTTGTTACCAGTTGGAAAGCAGTCACATTTTAATCATCATCATACTTCTGTGGACAACATTACTAGAACTCTCTCACACACATAAACACACACACACACTTAGAAAATAATACAAGAATTCTTTTATTTTTTCTTTTTTAAAATTTTGGTTTTGTTCTGAACACTCAAGAACATATGATGAAACTCTTGGTGGGCTACAACTGTAAAATGAAAACTGCTTTCCAGTGGCAGATGATCAACATGAATTCACAATGAAATAAAATTTGGTTTAAAAGACTTGACAAGTTTGATGTTTTTTCTGTTTCCTGGGGTGAGCTTTCTCAGAAAATTCTATCTAGTAACTTAAGTTAGCTGAGTTAATCTGCTTTCAGTAGGTCACTGTCTAACTGCATAATGTATTTTTGCAGTATAAATTCTGAAAGACAAAAAATGTCACAGTCTTCTCTACAAAGCAATGTTGAATACTTTCAGAATTAATCACTTTACAGAAAGAACTTACATGATTGACAAGTAATAATCAACAACAGGTTCTTAGAACACTGAAATTACTTTATTATTATTTTAAATTTTACTTGGGATTCTATTTTTTGCTTGTTTAAAGTCAACTATTAAAAAACAAACAAACAAACAAACAAAACCAAGGAATTTCAAAACCTCCATCCTGGAAGTGGCATTTTCTAAAAGCCTTTACGATCGTTTATTAATTTCTGAAGTGAACACAGTCAAAGTATTTAAGACAATTTTTGCACTTCAGAAAATAAAAGGTAACATCTATTCATTTCACCTTCAACTGACATCAGGTCAGTGTTTCCTTAATAAGCATATTCTACTATTTAGATATACTGTTTACAAGATGAATAAATGCACCTGGAAGATTGTTTGCAACAGGAGTATAAACCCCCATCATTTAACCTAAAAGTAATTCAAAGTCATACAGAAAAAAAATAAAACTAATTGGTACTGTGAAATGAATTTCTTAGAGTTACTTAACAAACTGGAATATTTTACTTACCTGTACAGCAGTAAACCCCCCTGAAATGCTCAGTAATGCACAATTGGACCAGCTGTGTGAATGCAGTGTAATTTTTCTCTGTGAAAAATATGAACTTTCTTCTCAGTTTATTTGCTGAAAGCTCTGGTGATGCTACAGCTCCATAAAGTCAAAATCCTTGTTCAGAAGACAAAGTACAAAGCGTCCAACTGAAAAGAAAAAATCCAGACAGAGTGCACATTAGACCATCCTGTAAGCAGTTTTCCTTTTCTCTCAATTAAAATTCACAGCATACTTCACAGCTATGCTGACTTTTCTGCATGCAGTTAACTGTTTGCAAGCACTCGGATGCAGTAAACAAACAAGATGGTAAGCACAGCTTTACTTGATCACTCGGCTCGTCAGATTTTTAGATCCTAGCTGCTTCTGTGTTCTCTGTGCTCTTTCTAGTCTTTCTTGTTAGCTCAGTTTGTTATTAGTCAGATTGCCAGGGGCTGGGAGGTAGGCGTGAATAAAGAGACTTCTTGGCTTTTGACTCAGCCTTTAAGCCCTTCCCCATCAGAGTGCTTTAATCTGCTAGTGTCATTTAGTATAAGATATAGCTCCACCTTGAGACAGATTAGCTCTTCCTCCTGCAACGCTCAAACCTCCTTTTCTCCCATGTCTTAGTGAAACTCAGAAAGTAAAATTCAGCTACTTATTTTGTGGATAACTGTTAATTGTTGATTTTGTGAAACAATAAACTATCTACTGCGGCTCTTGTTCATTTCTTCTCTGAGACAGATTTTGCATTTAATTTATGCCTGTAAATGCTTGCTTTAAAAACTGTAAACATTCTGGACTTAAAGCACTTCACAAAACACGCCATAAGGGAAACATTGTCCTCTGGAAAATATGTATATCACAATTAAATGCAGGATTATTCAAAAATATAACGGAAACTGTACAGCTTAGTTCAGTCAGCTCACTGTGACTAGAGTAGAGAATGAGGATTTACAGTTTTATGTCTTTTGTTTCTGAAAAAAAAAAAAAAAAAAAAAAGTGATTATATTTGCACAATGATTGCAGTCAGTCCTATTTAAAAATACCCCTCTTGTTCTGCAGGAGGAGAACTGGGTTAATTATAATTGTCTCTTTTACAGATGCTATAGCACAGAGTTTTAGTACCTATCTGTGTGAGATTCTGTTCTAATTCCATGAAATATTTTTTTGACGAGAGATGGTCTGTTCTCAGTGTGACAGCATACTTAAATGTGTGTCTTCTGAGTAAAGTATTAATTTCTTTGTGTTCATAAACAAGTGATTAGCACACCCTGTAGGACTACAGCAAAATGTTTCATTCATCCAAGGAACAGTCTTATCCTCCTTCCTACACTGTGTCAGCTGGATTTCTATGCTGTAAATGCTACTTTCCTGTTCATCCTACTACCACAAGGCCACAAACATTTTGGTAAGCAACAACAGATCTCATACTTGGGCATATTAATAATGTACAGCATATAATTTCTGATTTTATTTTTTCTTATTGTGTCTTGATTACTTAACAGTTTGCTTATTAAAGGCCCTATACCAGTCAGGCTCCAGTAACTCCTTTTGTGCTTATAGCCCTCCAGGTGAAAAGGTCATTTCTTATTATTCCTTACACATTTACTAAATTTTTTAAAACATGACTAATGGTTGTTTTTCTACCAAAACAAA